CGTCATCGATTTCGAAAGACTTGGACTTGATACAAACCCGCCCGTGACCCTTCAACATAATTCCCCAAGCCTCAGTATCTATCTCGTAGCCTTCGAAGGCTCTTAGTAAAGATGGCTTACGTAGAGCAATAGATCTAGCTTGGATAGTAACTTTTTTATATTTCCAGTCAAAGTTCTGTCGGCGCTCACAATTCGTGTGATATGTTCTCTCGAAAGCCTTCTGACTGAGATTTTGATCCAAGTCATCGATTTCGTAGACGACACACCATCTGTCAGTCCGCTTTCTCGTACATCGCGACATCTGCATTGTGTCGCAAATTCCGTCCTCAATCGTAGAGTGATAGAAGACCCCATAGCTCTGGCATGAGCCCTATCTCATGACAGGCCCGATGTCGTGCATGGGATACCGGGTCGTCAGGCTGATCCGCAGTGCTTCGCTACGATCTTCGAGCTGAATATCCCCCTCCATCAGGCACTCTTGCACAGAAGTTTCAGGACAGCCAACGCCCTGTTCGATGTGAGTGCCGATATGTAATATAACAGTGACATTTAACGACGTTCGTCTTGTCATAAAACGACCGATTGCCTTGCAAATAGCCTTTGCCCTCTGCTCGGTTTACTGGTGCTCGCGGCAGGGAGTCGCTTCCACATCGGTTTCGGGTATGGCCCCGTTTGCGGCTACTCATCGGAGCAGCATTTTTGGGACAGTGAAGAGTGGCAATGGGGAAAATTCTCAACAATTTTACCGCACCAGTTTTCTGGGACTATGACATGGTCGCATGTTAACCAGACCTCACCGAATACCAGAGAGAGCTATACTATGCCCTCATAGAGACTGCCAAAGCGGACGCTCATTCATTAGAAGTGATGGAGTTTCTTCTCGAAGCTGGTGCGTACATTAATAGTGAGACAAATTCACACATCGTCGGACAAGCTTGGTATAATGCTCTTGACGAAGAAATCTCGATTCTTTTCAGATCAAAAGTGGAATTCCACAATCAACATGGCATCGACCATCCGAGAGTTTGGTCGTCGTTGGAAGGTTTACGAACACCAATGCATTTTATCCTAACAAAACTTCACCGTTCCTGCCGGTACACGACCGATGGCGGCTTGAATATCCCTAAGGCCCTACGTTTCAGGGATTTTTTTGCGTATCGCGGATACCTATACTGGCCAAAGGTCATCGGCATGTTTAGGGATTACAACGAAAGCAATCAAGTTGAATCTCATTTTCTCTAATACGGGCGTGTTAATTTGGCGGCTTCAACGAGCACTATGCCAACATGTTCTTTAGCAAGTACTTCTGCCAAAAGAACGCCGGATGGTCCCGCTCCGATTACCTTCGGTCGTCATACGGCTAGACGACTAATACATAGTATAGAGTTGCAAGCCGAATCATCCTGTTGAAGAATATGTCAATTCTTAGGGTTCGCCACACGCCCGACGTACTAGGACTTGCCTACAAAAGAATCCTTGAGATACCGAGGCTAACGTGATACGTGCGACATTATGTTGGACTAAGTCGTTTGGCCCAAGACAAATAGACGCGAATCGACTTGTAGTAACTGGCAAACGTATATAAGACGAAGTTGACTGAAATGAGCTAGCTTTGTGTGGGAAAGCCGTTCTTCCGTAATGACGACAGCCTGGAAGGCAGAAAATGATTTAATTCAATAGCTCCACAACGTCATTAATAAGCCATAAGTTCTATTGCCGTCGCATCGTTTGGAATTATCAATCTTTCTGTCCCCCGGTTCTTCAAACAGCTCCCATATCGTTGGATTCATTCTGATGAGATTCTCCCGGAGGAATGTCAATACAGAGCAAGCAGGCGTGTATCTGCACCTATAGGCTGAACTTTGTCTGACATAACTGGATATCTACTCTGGAGCAGCTTATTCAAGCCGAAAAGCAGATTGCTACCTTGGCGTCTACTGGAGAAAATTTTCAAAGCTCGCTCGAGATAATGGATGAGACTGTAAGTTCGACAGCAAGTAACATCGAACCCTGGAAGTAGGCATACATTACCTAACGGCCACAGTGGGTAGCAACATCTATCCACTTCCGGGATTGCCCTCTCTATTCCATGCAGGGACTGACAAATGGTCATTTTGAGCAGCCTCCGGAAATGCTCTCCAGGTGGCATTAAAAAGACAACCCAAGCTGCAGAGTGCCGAAAAGTGTTCAACAAGTTCATCCTACCACATAGTTCTGTGACGGGCATTGGCCAGGTCTTAAAAGTATATTCATTTACTCTGCAAAAAATATTTTATCGCATGCAATGTGTGTGATTGGGTACATAAACTCAATAGATTGTTCAAGATAAGGTTGATCTGTCATTTGTCTCTGACCGTAGGTGAAAGATAGGCCGGTAGATCCAATTATCAGAATTAAGAGGCGCATGGAACAGGTCCGGCCCGCGAGACTTCCTTATGACAAAGGTAGCACGAAAAATGGCAAAAGCTGTTTAGCCGTCCTTTGAGTTGCCTCATCACCCATCCATCACCTTGATGGTACGGGGAAAACCGAATGATTATTATTTGTTGGACGGACTAGGGAGGGATGTGTACACAGATCCCGGTGACAAGTTGGTGATCAAAGAAGTGATTCTATTCTGTGATGTTCTTTCTAAGTCCTGGTAATCGGTAGGGCGTTATCGGGATGTGTCCTCGTACGCGACCAGAGTGGGTCACGTATCAGAACATCCACGTGACTGAGCTCACGCTCAGTCCCGTCAAGATATCGTACGTTTAGTCCCAGTGGTTGTTATTCTAACATTATTATTATTTAAAAAGTCAATGCTGATAGAAAATGCATTTCTGACCGTCGTCACGGCCTTTATCGCGAACTTTCACGCTCAATCCAAAATGCAGTTATCTCGAAGGTTCAAATCCACTGGGGTCAACTGAACCAAGGGGCTTTTACCGTTTCTTAACTGAACTGACGGACAGAATTCCAATAACCAGCTTTTCTGTCCCCAGATGTCGGACTCGAAAGCATCTTCTGTCCCAAAGCTCGTAATTCCACGTACGAAGCTTTATGCAGTTGATCTGCAGGGGGGGGAAGGAGAGAGAGAGAGAGAGAGAGAGAGAGAGAGAGAGAGAGAGAGAGAGAGAGAGAGAGATTATTCCGCGCGTGCAGCGAACGATGGTCCGAATAGGCAACAGCCTTCCTTCGTGTGATGGATCTACCTCACACAAGTCAACGAGACGTTTCACCAAGTATTGTCTGACATGTACGGAGCATACGTTACTCTACAGCTATTAGAGAAGTTGCATCGACGCCGTCCACTATTATACTCGTGAAGACCCTCTACCCGAACAGCGCAAACACTAGGCCACTAAAATACGACGTTGATCCGAATACCGTCACCTCGGCTTAGCTAGATCTACACAGTCGGATGCCATGCCGCTATAAGCCCGCGTCTCGACTCGATGTTCAGAGTCTTGAGCTGCTTGACATGCTCTAAGCAGCTTCTGAGGCACAGATATCATTCGCATCATTCGAAACTTCCCACGCCTTTTACTATCTCTTGTAAGGCGTATTTGCCGATCGACGCTACATCACACACCCTTTGACTGGCTTGCGGGGGCGATGTCAAAACATACAATTGACGTCCCACCGAGATGCAACGAGGAGCCTGGCAGGTCTAGCCATCAGCAACTCCTGAAAACTATTAAGACTAAATAGCTCACTTGCTTTCTGCGGCTTACGTTGGAGAATCCAAGAATCTCATCGCAGTCAATGTGTTTACAAGGAGGCCTTCCTCTGGTGCCGTTTTCGTCCACATCGACAGTCCGCCTCCTCTTCCGCGGGCTGCGACCATTAGCGCAGGTGGCTTATCAAAGTATTTAAACGCGGCCAACACTGGAACATGACTCCTGGCCTAGCTCTGCTGGACATGAGTATACTCACTGAATCCCTGAGGGGAATGTTGTTGTCGCCTCTTAAGCTGCGAAAGCATGCCCTTGAAGCCAACGTAAGAAAGGCATTCAACAACAGCCCTCAACAATAGTCGTTAACTGACCTTAATGTCTATGCAGATGAGTGGTTCTAACCTCAACTCGTCCGATGAACATGGTTTTTCTCGAACTGGCTTACTCGAAGCACTTTACACTCACAAAAACACTGAAAACGTACATCAGAATGAAGAACTTCAGGGATTGATCGTTTAAAAGGTCGAAAAGAAGCTCTACTGCTAAGCGGCCAACAGTTCATCGCCAAGGTTCACAATGGCTATGTTACGGGAACACGGATGGAGCAACCACGATGTGCGATACGGCGCTAGGCACCATTATGTCGAAATCGTCGAGGATCGACCGCCAATCCAGGCGTACCGTGGGATGATTCCGTTGTCTTATGAGGTTTGAAAGCCTAAGATACAGAATTAAACACTTTATGGCAGATCGTTGGCGATGACCTTGGTAGTCTATTACAGGACTGTCATTTATGAAACCCGGCAACATCCCTTTTACGCTTTCCAACAACACACGTTGTTACGGACAGACCGACTCGCACAGACGAGATGGCTTACCTTCGGCCCAACTGAGCACCAAAATCTTGACTCCCTCGGTTGAAGTGGTGAATATGAAAAAGAATACAACTACGTGTTCCCTGTAGAAGCAAAATTAGCGTGAAAGAGCTGGAACTTGGCACAATCCTCACCACGACGAAATTGGGGACTGACACTAGACAGCAACGTTCTCGGTAACTGAGCAGAGTTTGTTGTCCTAAGCGTTATTGCATTAAGATGATTCAGAATGCCCACAAGCGTCAACATCTGTCAGGCACGTAAAGTGAGGAGGCTTGTGCGTCGTAATTCCATCTCTGACCATATTCAGCGTGTACATATGCAGTTTCCTTTCAACAAGGACCACCGGCCTTACACTATGGCATTGGTACTGTACATAACGGAATCCCGCCATCCCGCATCGGAAACAGGTTCCTGCTTGCAAGTTGAGCCACACTCGAGGTTTGTGTGTTTGACCTTCGCAAGATTAGGCAGATGAGAATAGCATAATTGCAACCAGAAGCTCGTAGACAGTTGTCTCCTGGACGCAGTGCTGTACAAACGACCGATGCGCACATTTTCTCGCGCTCTCAATGTCCCACGACTGGGTACCCAACAACGCCTTTGAACGGTGCCAGGCTTCGATTGCGGCCACGACCGCTGTGGCAGTCCAATCTATATCAAGTTGTACGATGCCGTGCAGACATAAATCCGTGACGACTGATGAGTCCAGGGCACTTTCGTATGCCAAACATAGGTCCCATCCATCGTCTTGGAAGAGGTCATAGTCCAGAGCGTGCATCAAGTAGACTTCGTTGGCCCAAATGATGTCTCCAAGACACATGTCAGATACGGATGCTCTCGTGCCGCAGTCGAAAACCGTTCGGGCAATGGCATCGGTTTCCTCTCGGTGGCCCAAGAGCTTGAGAGAGACTGAAAGTGCAGCTTTGATCAGGCCTTCGGAGATAACGACGTTCTTCCGTTCAAGAAGTTTCAAGTACGTCAAAGCACGCACTAACGAAACTGAATTGAGCTGGCCGGGGGAACGTGATGAGACTTGTTTGAAGAGGGTCACGGCTAGGCTTCCTACAAACCACATTTTCGACAGAAGTCTATGTCAGGCAAGTCGGACCAATAGCTTTAAATAGGATTTTTGCCTACGTGACACGCTTCTCGGAGAAGCTCCTTGAAAGATGTGTCACAATTCAAAAGGTCAATCTTTGATGACGAATTACGTCAGTCCTGCTTGTAAGATTGAAATCTCTTAGTAAAACATCTAGGTCAGGCTTGGTGTCTTCATGACATCAGTGTTGTTTTGCCATTGACTCGGTCTATACTGATGGGAGCCTAATACTCAACACCCCACCTATCTCCCCTTCACCCTGTGGTTTAGCTTCTGCCTCTCGATGTCTGCAAAGCGAAATGTAACAACCGGGCATACATAGCCACTTGGACTGCCGATATACTACGGCGGGCGCAGCTGGTGGGAACTAGCGTGTTTGAGACCTCGACCTTGTCCCATGCATCGTGGCCCCCTTTTCTGATGCATCATGATAAGAGGCATCGTGCCCTTGAGGCGAAATTCGGAAGGCTCTTCACCCTGTCTTGCCAGGAAGTCAGCCATTTGAACACGGGCTTATCGGCTTCGCCGGAAGACTATCGTAGGACCACGTCTCGTACACCACACCTTCCTAGTACACCATGCTGTACTGATCGTTGATTGATGGGACCGTCGTTGCCATGACTGGAGTTCCCATAGCGTCAATTATCACTACGACAATGCCACCGATTCCAGATGCACAAGATACACATGCTCATGAGGATAGGTTGGTCTCTGGATAACACTGAGGGTGGTTTCAGTGTTGAGTCCAAAGCTACTTGGCTTGGAGTCAGGTCGAGCTAGTGCGCCGCCAAAGGCACTATGCCAAAGAGCGACAAATCTGACGAAGGCATTGACTATGCAATATACTCATAGTTGCACGAGTGGTCGCACGCTCTGTCACGGTGGCGGGTGCATGATTCTGATGCCAGGTACTGCGAGGAAGGGATTGATTATTCAGTGATGACTACTATGCTTGGTCTCATTTGTACGTCTATTGGCTACCTCACCGTTTACAGGGTGGTTGGGTTGACGATTTTGGACATAACAATGGTTCGAGGCTAGGCAATGTTTGAGAGCAGAAGCTTTCTTAGTGCTTTGAGATAACGGTTATGATGGAAACGAATCTCGCGATTTCCCTGTCGATCTGTTCTTTTCTTTCAAGTGCTCGAATCCTACTCCGATCATTCCACAAGCACAGGTTCTCCCGCCGGAATTCCAAATAAGGAAATATCTGATCACGTCACCCACTGGTCCATTCCTCACATCTCAGTTGCAAAGTCGCCCATCCATATTGAAATACCCCGACGCTTCATTGACCTATTCACTGTGGTGCTCGGGGAAGGATAATCACAGGCTCTTACGAATATACGTTGGGTAGCATCTATCCTCCTGCACTCGAAGCTTATTGAAGGCGTTCAAAATAATCACCGATCCTTCAAAATGGAGTATCAAACGGACGGAAGCTTTTAGTTCAGGGAGGGACTTCGGTGGGTCAAGTGAACCTTCAACATCACTATGGCTAAGAGGTCTCCTTCAAAGATGATCGTTCTGAGACGATCGTTCTGTAGGTAACTTCTCAGCGGTGTCAGACCGACGTTGTCTCCTACATTCCAGGGTTCTCGGACTATTATCGTCACTCTTAGGCTGCACGGTGCTGGTGGAGGTTGTATGAGATGTAGATTGCGATTGACCAGTTCATTTACTCTTTCGAAGGAAAGCAGTGCCCTCGTCACAGTGGTGCTGACCACTCATCCCTAGGAGAAGATATCACGTAGCGTGCATTAGACTAGCCTCATACGTCAAGACTTTCGATGGGCTTCCCGTCAAAGTCGAGCCGCTTGGGACGCAGACCGAAGGATCTCAGGTTTTCTCCAACCGCTGCGTACCGCTTGAGTCTTCAATAGAGAGGATCTGATGGGAAGGAGAGCTTACCGTATAAGTGTTTACTACCTGGTACAGACTCCCGGAGCACGTCTTCAATGTTCGATTCAGAAGACAATCTTATGACACCGGAACGCATGGCCTCATCCAAGGCATCGGCAAGACCCTGGTCGCCCTTCCGTTTCGCTAGATTTCCGTTTACGGCTGCGAGGTCGTGTGTTACTCTTATGTTCACATTGTCGCGGAAGTACTGGTAACTTTTGCCATAGCAGATTATCCGCATGCCGGCATGACTACCGAAGCCAGCGTGGGCGAACGAGGCTCTCAGCATGTCCAGGCTCTCATTCAACCACAAGAGCGACGTACTCTCCTTGTGTTTGGCAAGCTCACTCCGCCATGCAAGAATCTGGTAGGCTTCTACCACACCGCTATCCATGGTGATGATATCGAGAGTTTTGTCTGTAGCGATCGTAGGGGTGAGTGGTATGACATAAGGTCCGCGGACTTCTAGTTCACGAGGGGCTTCCGCATCGACGAGAGCGAACAGTACTGCAGTGTACTTCGATGTCTTGGTGCTTTTGTTGAAGTCTCTTCTCATCCAGGCTGCACGTACGGGTATTTCGCCTACTTTGAAGTAATACGACTGACCAGAGGTGATGGTGGATGATACCTCGACTTCTAGGATGCGGATATGCTTGCTTGGCGGCGTGGTCAGCTCCATGGTCTTCGTGGGGAAAATGGACACGGAAGTCGTTTGCTGAGTCAAACTTGCGCATGCCAGGAAGATGACACCAGCTGATACCGCGAGAACGACGGGCCAGGGCAAGTACAGAACGACGTGGACTGTGGCCAGGAGGGAGAGAACAGAGGCCAGTACCCAATGCGTGCCGAGCCAAGAAAGGGCCGCGGCCGATGCACGGGGACGGAGACAACGGCAGATCGGGGTGGAGGAGGAGGAGGAGGCACTCGCTCGTCGAAACTTCGATGAGAGCGCCACGGTCACGAGAAGTACTCCAGCCTACCATACGCGTCTGTCAGCTTGGTCCTGTGGCTTCAATCGTGTTTCCTACCGTCGATCCCGTTGTCCATGAACTCGTGGCCGGACCTGCATGTGCGTTAGTGATGCGACGTCGTGACCTGGACTGTCGAGTGGCTGCCGTGTACCTGGCTTACTTGGAAGCAAACAGAGCGATGCTATGACGTGTATGACGCCCTGACAAGTGATCAGCCAGCCGAAGAACGAATGAGCCCACAGCCACTGCTCCCGACACTGCCTGATGACTCTCGGGAGGAAACCGTTGCCCGGGATGACAAGCAAACAGAGTGGCAGCATGTTCATGAAGCACAGCCGACCAGCTTGGGACGCCATGGACCGCGCCGATATGGCTTCATCGCTCCAAGGAATCACGGTCACGAGCACATTCTCGGCCGCGATGAAGAACGCGATGCTACATCGTAGCGCTCTTGGCGGGTTGAATCCGTTGATATCTGCGGCGTCTCTCAACAGAAGAGTTTCGATGCGCCGGCTGATGCATCGTAGCTTCGAGCTACCGAGGCGTTGTACTAGACGCCTGTCGAGGACAATTGCTTCTTCCAAGAAATGCATGAAGGCGTACGAACGGGACGCGAATAACCATACAACAACGTCAAAAAGTAGCACCAAAGAGTACACTGCTTCAGTTTCCATATGGTCCCGGGTCAAAAGCCAGCCGGACGAGCCCTTCAAATACCGAGTGCAGTTCTGGAAGCGGCGCCAAGCGGCCGCTGCATTGGCGGATATGCCCACGACTACGCCGGAGTATCGGCGACATGACCAAGGTATCGGGCGATGAGGTGACCTGTTTTCAGTTTGAGTCATATGCTGCACGACGTGTAGTCAACCCACGATCAACGTAATCCCCTCCGATCCAATGATCGTCTGCGTACGTCTCCACGTACTAGCTAGGATGGAAATACTGTCATGCAGCAAGGTAGACCTCTCATCGAATGGCGTCACTCACTTGACGTCAATGCAATAGGAGACTGCCCTCACTCGAGGCAAGATACACGGGTGGACGGCATGTCGCTATGTCCCCCTCGGTGGTGGGGACCTATCTGCCGCCAAAGTGCGTCCCCTACTTCTGAAGCCTGTGCTGACGAAAGGCGCCTTCAGTCGTCGTGCTGGTCGTATGGAAAGACCACCGGCCGAGCAAAGGGGCCAGACGAGACGCGGGATACATCGGCAGACCTAGGTCCCCCGCTGGCGTGTCCAGCTTCGGTCCCTGCTGGATGCACAGGTGGTGTCACTCGTACAGACGACCCGACCGACAATATCCGGACGAGATGGTGACGGGATGGTGCTCGAAATTTGGTCATACCAGCCTTCTAAGCAACCCATCGCAGAGAGGTCTTGGTACTCCGACAGCGTCGATAGCAGTGAACGGTCGCTATAGAGCGTGGGCGGTTCGGGAAGTCTGGGTATGGAGGCAAAGACATCATAGGCCGATCAGTCTGACCGCGCCGGTCCTGCTACCGCCTCCTCCTACGTAATCGCAAACGCACATCTGCTTTCCCTCACGTGTTTCAACACGGGCGTTTGGCATAGAACAAACGAATCATAGAACGAGACAGAGAGGTGAGGTTGCGCGTCGCGCGCGGTCGTAACAACGTCGAGGACCTGTTGTATCTTGGACGGGGCCCAACCTCCCGGCCCGGGCCAGTTCTCGTCCTGAACATCGCGCCAACCACAGGGAACACCCGGCGACGCAGACACCAACAGCAGGCTTCTGCGCCCCACCGGCGGCCGGCGGCCGGCGACCGGGGAGCTGGCCGTCGAGCTGGCCGTCGAGCTCGGCGTCCACCGCGTCGTGCGTTCGTACCTCGGACTCTACGGGACAGACGGCTGCTGTTCTCAAGTCGGCATAACTGCTTGGGAGCGAAGGCGATCAGTCATGGTGTGGATAGCAACGGAGCTGGATACTTCGTCTACCCGGTCACGGTACGCCGTGACCACGACTGCTTCCTCCTCTGCCCCCGAGTGAGTCGTTGCCGTTCCATGCTCTTGCGGACCGATGCCACGTCCCGCCCGCTCGGGGGACGCCGGAGACGGTTCACGCCCGCCGTCGGGACGGGACAGAGAGGAGCATGAGCGCCAGCCTCGCCGGTTCGTGTCTGCCCGCCCGACCCCAAGGCCCCGCGCATGCGCCTGTGCCTAGAGCTCCCTTGAAGTGGCCATTGCGGGTCACGCTGGTACGTGAACGTTAGGTAGCTGGAAGTGTACGTCTACTGCGGTATCAGGCCAAATGAAACCCCCTGCCGGGTATCTGTGGTGCAGCACTTCGATTATCTCAGCAACGGTACTTCGACGCTCGCAGCTGGGCTTCAGCCAGACGAGTTGCCCAGATCCCCAGGTAAGTGGGCCGCTGCCCGCAAATACATGGCCGGGAGTTGAACTTACTCATACAACCACAGCACAGTGCACATCTCCGCTATTCCTTGATTAGTGTTGACGGGGGTGGGGGTGAGGTTTTCGCGACCGACCCCCGACACCCCCCAAGCCCCATACCGCCCAGGGGCCTCGTTGGAGTCAACAGGGAGCGAAAGTACATACCGCAGTACTGCACAGTACGCCTGGAGGTACATAGCGACGGCCTATCAAATGTCGCGACCCAGCATGCTTACCAAAACCAGGGCCTGCCCCATAAGCCTTGCAGCGGCCACGGCACACTATACATAATATGCATAGGTAAGTGGAATACGCGTATCATCCAGAACGGAACGAAAGAACTACAGAACGGGTCACATAACGATGAGAGATAAGAAGGCCCGTACGCAGACCCCGTCTTCCATTAATACAGTGCCTATATTCTTAGGACATGGGACCCCTTAGGCAAGTATTTGAATAAGAAGTATATTCATAAACGAGACTTTATATAAAATATCTCCGAGCTCGGTAAAAAAGATGCCCTTATATAGGCATAAAGATCTTCTACTGTGATATTTCATTGCTTATTAGTTATGACATAATTGATAAGCGTATACGTAGGTGAATGCATAATCGTAGTACGTAATACCGTCTCGAGTAAATTCCAGCGCATTCCGTTACCTTCCAGTATTTTCTATCGCTCACGTAAGCTTATATAAGCAAGTGTGCTTACACAGCACACCTACAGAGATATTAATGTATTATTTTTATAAATTAATATAGTACACGATATGCTTATATGCTATTGTTGATGAAGAAAATTACAAGGTAAACAAATTTATCTTTTTGATGGGTTTTTGGTTATAAATGGTTTTAAGTATTATCAACTCGTTTATGATAATTTAATCAGTTAATTGAAGAATATATTTAGTTGAAATGGAGCTCGAAGAAAGTATAAAAAAGGTTTTTCAAAAAAACCTCTACTTCTATTGATATAAATAGCTAGATACTAATCTACTTAACCCCTTTTATTCTTACACAACAAAACATTAATATCCTTACTAGAATTTACAATCTTAATAATTAGAAGCCGCTTCTCATATTCATAATTAAGATTTATAACCGACTTGTACTATGCTAAACGTTTTTTATCTTCTAGAGTTTATAATGTATGCTAATGTAAAAGGTGTAGCTAAGTGCTGTAGCTAGAAAAGATATAGAAGGTAGGTATAGTATATTAAATAGACCTAAGCTTAACGTTCTCACGAGGCTATCGTGAGAATTGGCTTTTCTTCTCGGGCTGGGCTTCGCCGAAGATTCGCCGAGCCTCAGCCGCAGCCTCGTGGCTGAGCCAGGCCTGGTTAGGTGCCCGTGCATTAGACACCCTTACAGCTAAAATAAAGTAACAAATTAATAATAATTTTTTACTCATGATACAGCTGCTTTTAGTACTATACACCAGTACTTAAATACTATACTTAAATATATAATATATATTCGACAAAACAGTATTTATAAACTGGTTCTTTATGATTAGAATTATGAGTAATTATAGTTACTAGTTTTAATTTACGTTAACAGAATAAGTAAGAAATTATAATTATGTTATTGTAAGTAATGACGATTATGAGTAAGTACATACGTTTGAACGTTGATAATTACTTAATATAGCTAATTTATGTAGATACCGTACTCAATCAGAGCTGAGTATACTATATAGCCCGTAAGTAGGCATAGAAGGTTCCAGGAATTTAAATTTAGGGCGGTAAGTAATTGGTCAAAAAAGTGGACCTTTACTTATATAAAAATCTAAAACTGCCCGGATAGTAGAACATGTTAATTTCAACAAGTAATGAGTTTTAGTCTCCTGGTCTTAGTCTTATACAAGACCGGTTGATATAAACTTATATAATTTAATAATTATTTAGTTTTGTCATAGTAATCAGAAGATATCAACAGTTATCAACAAATCTTAATCTTTACTTCTTTTTATTCAAACTGTTTTCATCATAACTTTCAATTAAATAATTGAGATGTGGAGAACGTGGCTTTGTTAGTATCATTAAGGTTGAAACAGTTTGAAGGTATTCATTCTCTCTCTTGTTGCGAATTATAAAGCTTTTTTTTTCAATTATTTAATTTCTATTGATTATAATACTGTGTTAGATAACTTTGAAAAAAAAAATATACTCTCGTTATCATATTTCTATATGTTTAATTAATTATACTATGTTAGTTATTCAACTAATTACAGCTTTAAGTCTCAAGTTCGAAAAGGTATTTTATTATCTTTATTATAAACCAGGCTAGTATTCTTGAAGAATTTAGTATTCTTAAGAAATCAAGTATTTTTAAAGAGAGAGAAATAAAGGCAAATTTACAATGAATAATATGTCTATTTCATAAGTACTTATATGGAGTGATAATGACAATAAGGCTTTTAGTATAGGATGGAGTATTTTCCTATGTTAGTTTAATAATAGAATTAATACGATTTCTAAATGAATGGAATGAACCAGTTAATAGTTCAGATAATTATCGATAAATACTATCGTATTTTCTGGAAATAATCCTGCATATTTCATAAGATCGAATGATGTTTACCTGTATAGAGAGTAGTGTTAGTTTATAGAGTTATCGGAGTATAATAATGTGTTGAAAGGCCAAAGAATATGAATATTTTTATAAGAAGAGAAGGGCCTTTTAATATTAAGTACTTATTAAATGTAACACTTTTAAGCTAATCCTTTTGAAAAGTCGTTGTAGATAAGTTATAGTTGACAAATGTACATGTAACAAATATTAAATAATAATTTAGGAAATTTTATATTTTTAGATCTTAGTTTCTATATACTTCTTTATCTCTAATCATATACTTTCATTATTTTTTTAACTTACTTGCTTACGTAATAACCATTATTAAAAAAACAATATTACTTAGTTGATTTAGAGCCAGTAAATCTTTTTGAATAACAACCCTTTTATTTACGTCTATAATATTATTAGCTAACTAATTTGTATTAACGTAGCGAACTAGGTCCTTAAGAATACTATAATTACAGATTCATTATCATTCCCTTATACCTCTAATTTATTATTAACTTTATTTCAATAATCTCGTCCTCTAATGATTTATTATTTTATGAGTTCTATTCTCGTTAAGTAATTGACCTTATCATAGACCCGGATTAATTAATAAATAAATATTTTTAACAGTTTTATTAAGAAGTTTAATAAGAACGTTTTAAAAATACGAAGAGTCTATTATCACAAAATTTGTTAATAGATAGTTTATTAACAAGCCTACAATTAGTTGTTTCATAACTAGCAAGTTTAAGGGTATTAATAATAATCACGAGCTTTTATTCAAGCGCTATTTTATTGTTCGTATTAGTTTAAATACTTCAGCTTACTTAGTTAAAAAAGCTCTGACGTAGTATATTACTAATTATTCAATAATTAATCCTTTATATAATATTATTAGTAATGTTATTGGAAAGAGCTTTTTGAACTTTCTGAGCTTAGCAGTAAATTCAGAATCATTAATAACGCTGTATTCTTAGCTGATTCTAATAATATATCAGTTTTAAGTTTATAATCATAAACCGTTTATTAATAAGGGAAAATTCCAATTTTGGCTTACTATATTAAAGCTCTTTT